ACGCTGATCTAGGTAAATTATATGGCCGACTAACCATTTCGTGATCAATGACAACACATTCTACCATCTCTTGATCTCCCCTTGAGGCTGTACTGACGCTGATCCAGGTAAATGACATCACCTTCTAGCCACCTCTTAATTTCCTCTTGAGGCAGTACTAACGCTGATCCAGGTAAATGACATCACCTTCTAGCCACCTCTTTTTTTCCCCTTGAGGCAGTAGTAACGCTGATCCAGATAAATGACATCACCTTCTAGCCACCTCTTAATTTTCTCTTGAGGCAGTACTAACGCTGATCCAGGTAAATGACATCACCTACTAACCACCTCTTTTTTTTCCCTTGAGGCAGTGGTAACGCTGATCCAGGTAAATGACATCACCTACTAGCCACCTCTTAGTTTCCTCTTGAGGCAGTACTAACGCTGATCCAGGTAAATGACATCACCTACTAGCCACTTCTTTTTTCCCCTTGAGGCTGTACTGACGCTGATCCAGGTAAATAACATCACCTACTAGCCACCTCTTTTTTCCCCTTGAGGCAGTAGTAACGCTGATCCAGGTAAATGACATCACCTACTAGCCACCTCTTTTTTCCCCTTGAGGCTGTACTGACGCTGATCCAGGTAAATGACATCACCTACTAGCCACCTCTTAATTTCCTCTTGAGGCAGTACTAACGCTGATCCAGGTAAATGTCATCACCTACTAGCCACCTCTTAATTTCCTCTTGAGGCAGTACTAACGCTGATCCAGGTAAATGTCATCACCTACTAGCCACCTCTTTTTTCCCCTTGAGGCAGTAGTAACGCTGATCCAGGTAAATGACATCACCTTCTAGCCACCTCTAAATTTCCTCTTGAGGCAGTACTAACGCTGATCCAGGTAAATGACATCACCTTCTAGCCACCTCTTAGTTCTCTCTTGAGGCAGTACTAACCCTGATCCAGGTAAATGACATCACCTTCTAGCCATCTCTTAATTTCATCTTGAGACAGTACTAACGCTGATCAGGGTAAATGACATCACCTTCTAGCACCTCTTTTTTCCCCCTTGAGGCAGTAGTAACGCAGATCCAGGTAAATGACATCACCTACTAGCCACCTCTTTTTTCCCCTTGAGGCAGTAGGAACGCTGATCCAGGTAAATGACATCACCTTCTAGCCACCTCTTAATTTCCTCTTGAGGCAGTTCTAACGCTGATCCAGATAAATGACATCACCTTCTAGCCACCTCTTAATTTCCCCTTGAGGCAGTACTAACGCTAAACCAGGTGAATGACATCACCTACTAGCCACCTCTTAATTTCCCCTTGAGGCAGTACTAACGCTGATCCAGGTAAATGACATCACCTACGAGCCACATCTTAATTTCCCCTTGAGGTAGTACTAACGCTAAACCTGGTGAATGACATCACCTACTAGCCACCTCCTGATCTTCCCTTGAGACAGTACTAGCACTATGACCTGGTGAATGACATCACCTACTAGCCAGCTCCTGATTTCCCTTGAAGCAGTACTAACGCTAAACGCCGCGATATGACTGGAATACTGTTAAAAGCGGCGTTAAACCCAACTCACTCACTCACTAACGCTAAACCAGGTGAATGACATCACCTACTCGCCACCTCCTGATCTCCCCTTGAGACACTACTGACGCTGATCTAGATGAATGAACCATCCTTTGTTGTTCCAGGGTTCATGGTATCCCTTCATCTTCCCAAGAACGTTAAGTCTCTTTTATTCTTGTTCTCGTGGTTAAGACAACCTTAAGTCTATTGAACGCAGCAGCATGAGCAGAACTGTATTTTCCTCAGACCAAAATAAAAGAGGAACATGGAGTTTTGTCAACATGAGTATAATGTTTGAGTAAACCCATGTTAGATGAAGTGGTGTGGCACAACTAACCGCAAGGCGCTGACGTAAGACGACTTGGATCTTCACGGCGGGCGATGCAAATAGATGAAAAACGTACTGGTGTCACAACTGTTCTGTCCGCGCGTTATTATCTGCATCAACATCTTTCTGAGGGTTTTTTACTCCCCTGTAAGCGTCAAGTACCCAACAGCAGGTGCGTTCAAACCTTGCTTACAAAGTGAAAATAGCATTACTCCTCATGAATGAGCTCGTGGTGCGCATGTACTTGGGTGCGTTTGGCAACATCGAAGTGAAAATAATGGTAATTATGTGTGTTCCACTGTAAAGACTCGTCTAGCTGGTGGGGAAACCCTGCACCAGTCCATGGAGTGAGGGGGTGAATATTATTTTACGCCGTTTTAGCAATATTCCAGGAATTCCACGGCAGAAAAGGGCTTCACACATTGTGCCCATGTGGGGAATCGAGCCCGGGGGACGACTGAAAACTTTAACAACTAGGCTACCGCCCCACCAGTCAATGTAACATCGATGAACAGCACCCTGGTGATGTGTTGTGAAGAATACTTCCGGGTATTGCATGCCGACAACACATATAACCCTGCCTAGATCGATAGGGGTACAATCTCATCGGAATTCTGCCTGGATAGATAGCGGTACAATCTCATCGGAATTCTGCCTGGATAGATAGAGGTACAATCTAATCGGAATTCTGCCTGGATAGATAGAGGTACAATCTCATCGGAATTCTGCCTGGATAGATAGCGGTACAATCTCATCGGAATTCTGTCTGGATAGATATCGGTACAATCTCATCGGAATTCTGCCTGGATAGATAGAGGTACAATCTCATCGGAATTCTGCCTGGATAGATAGAGGTACAATCTCATCGGAATGCTGCCTGGATAGATAGAGGTACAATCTCATCGGAATTCTGCCTGGATAGATAGCGGTACAATCTCATCGGAATTCTGCCTGGATAGATAGAGGTACAATCTCATCGGAATGCTGCCTGGATTGATAGCGGTACTATCTCATCGGAATACTGCCTGGATAGAAAGCGGTACTATCTCATCGGAATACTGCCTGGATAGATAGAGGTACAATCTCATCGGAATACTGTCTGGGTAGATAGAGGTACAATCTTATCGGAATACTGCCTGGATAGATAGAGGTACAATCTCATCGGAAAACTGCCTGGCGGGATATAAATACCGGCATCACTACTATAAGTTTTAGCAAATATTCTTACGGAGTTGTGTCCTAAAATCTATTATGTCAACCACTGTTTATCACGGAGAAGGTATGCCTACATATTACCAGTGTGTTGAGAGATACTGATGCCATCTTGGTGTGTGTCAGAAACAGGTATGTAGAAGGGACGCAAACAGAAGCTGAGGTCGGTTCATATCTGACAGCCCTGATGACATTCAAGTGAAGAAAGTGATTGTCCAGCGATACTTCCTATGTCCAGCAGGTGGTGCTACATGTCAGGAGTCATGGTCAGCGGGAAGGGCGAAAGTCACCTGTCATCTACACTCGCATCGAGTCCATCGCTTAATATGTTGTTATTCATGCCTATGAAATTGATATTTCAATCAGAGGGCACTCACATTATCTGCTACCGACGCAAGGGGTCACAATATCTGCTGTAGAGGAGATCCCAATATCTGCTGTAGACAAGGGGTCACAATATCTGCTGTAGACAAGGGGATCACAATATATGCTGTAGACAAGGGGATCCCAATATCTGCTGTAGACAAGGGGGGTCACTAGAGCTGCTGTAAAGAAGGGGGATCACAATATCTGCTGTAGACACGGGGATCATAATATCTGCTTAGACAAGGGAATCACAATATCAGCTGTAGACAAGGGGATCACAATATCTCCTACAGACAAGGGGATCACAATATCTGCTGCAGACACGGAGATCACAATATCCCTGGTAGACACGGGGATCACCATATCTGCTTAGACAAGGGAATCACAATATCAGCTGTAGACAAGGGGATCACAATATCTCCTACAGACAAGGGAATCACAATATCTGATACAGACGCGGGGGATCACAATATCTGCTGTAGAAATGGGGGATCACAATATCTGCTGTAGTCAAGGGGAATCACAATATCTGCTGTAGACAATGGGGATCACAATATCTGCTGTAGACAAGGCGATCGCTATATCTGCTGTAGAAAAGGGGGATCACAATATCTGCTATAGACAAGGGGGATTACAATATCTCCTGTAGACAAGATGATCTCAATATCTGCTTTGACAAGGGGATCACAATATCTGCTGTAGACAAGGGGGATCACAATATCTGCTATAGACAAGGGCGGTCACAATATCTGCTGTAGACAAGATGATCACAATATCTGCTTTGACAAGGGGATCACAATATCTGCTGTAGACAAGGGGATTACAATATCTGCTACAGACGCGAGGGATCACAATATCTGCTGTAGTCAAGGGGGATCAAAATATCTGCTGTAGACAAGGGGGATCACAATATCTGCTGTAGTCAAGGGGATTACAATATCTGCTACAGACGCGAGGGATCACAATATCTGTTGTAGACAAGGTGGGATCACAATATCTCAAATAGTTGCTACAGACACGGGGTTCACAATATCTGCTACACGAAGACCAACGTGTAAAGATAGACAACAATTTCTGTTATTGAGAGATATTTCGTCAGCGCTGAAAAGAATTAGCTAGCCGTGTTTTGTCATCACTTTCTTCTATGTTGTGTCATGGTTGCTGATGCAGATTCACCCGAGACCCAACTTCCTGAGCCTCATTTGGAGTTTTGCCAGTGTGGCCACAAAACGAGAACATAATGATATATAAGTAAAACATGAGTGAGTGATGATCTATGAGTAAATCTATTCCCTATATATATGAGCTGAAATTATTCATCATATGAATATGCTTTGGGTATAGCAATAATATCAACATGTATGTGTTTAAGCCTCGCCGTTTCCTGTATATAAACCTCTGTTGTCCCCCTGGAAAGACTATGATTCATCTCCGCACAAAGGCCTCGTTCATCATTCCATATCAGGCTGTCATGTCCCTCTTTGCTGGCTGCATTGCTGTCTCCCGCCTCAACATGTCCCGCCTTCACCCGATCCGTCTCGACCCATTTTGGGACTTTCAAAGGATGCCATTTTCGTTGAAGGACAGTGACATTTAGCCAGAGATTGCAGTATTATTTCAAAGCAAATCCCGCTAACGCTTATAATGGTGTGTTCTCAATTCGACATTTGACGCCCGTCCTTCTCTCTCTCTGAGCACCGGAAGTGCACGCTGCCTGTTTCCCCCACGTGCAGTTGGACAGCTGCATATCTCAGCCTACACGTGCACAACTACTGCACGTGGACGTGCACGTGCACGTGAAGCCACAAGGTGGGTGATATGTTAGGTCTCGTGTATCACTGGCGAGCAGGTTTGTTGTCACACAGACGCTTCAAAACCACCAAGAGTTCTATGTTTATTGTCTTTAAGGTTTGCTGCTGAGGTTTTTAGATATAATTTTTAGTTCATTTTTTTTCTTTTCATGGCGTAAATACGAAAAAGGGTTTACATGATGTTTCATGATTCTGTAAATACTGGGGGGCACGGGTGGCCCAGTCGTCTAAGGCGCCGCGATTCGCTGTGCAGAGTTGCGTCCCTTGGGCACGCCAGAAACCTATGATTGTGGGTTCGAATCCCGGTTCGCCCCAATTATGTTTCTAGGTTTGTCAGCACCATACCCGTGCTCGTGGGTTTTCAGCAACCAATCCTTACGCAAAAGGCGACTATGCTTGACGTCACAGGCGACTAATGAGATCGGGTTGTCGGGCTCGCTGACTTGGTTGATGCTTGTCATCGTATTATTTACAGATCGACGGTATATTTCTGAATATTGCTGGGAGCGGCGTTAAACAACAAACAAATAAACCACAACCTTGGGTCCCTCAACTGCCAGTCACCCAGCTCACACATACGACTCTACACACAGATGTCTTTCACACATCTCATAGTTACCCCTGTCACTCGAACAGTTCACACAGTGAGTTGTCAGACACTCATCTTAAACATCCAGCTGTCAGTCACCAATCTCACACAGCCAGCTGGCAATCACACACATCCAGCTGGCAATGACAAATCTCACACAGCCAGCTGCAATCACACACATCCAGCTGGCAATCACCAATCTCACACAGCCAAGTGGCAATCACACACATGCAGCTCTCAATCACACAGCTCACACATACAGCTGGCAATCACACATCTCACACATACATCTGACAATCGCACATCTCACACATACCGCTGGCAATCACACATCTCACACATACAGCTGGCAATCGCACAGCTCACACATACATCTGACAATCACACATCTCACACATACAGCTGGCAATCACACATCTCACACATACAGCTGGCAATCACACATCTCACACATACAGCTGGCAATCACACGCATACATCTGGCAATCACACAGTTCACACATACAGCTGGCAATCACACGCATACATCTGGCAATCACACAGTTCACACATACAGCTGGCAATCACACACATACAGCTGACAAACACATCTCACACAGCCAGCTATCAGTCACACACATACAGCTGACTAACACATCTCACACATACAGCTGGTAATCACACAACCGGCCGTCCTCGAGTCATCATCAGCTGCAGTATTTATAAACCGGTGTTGTGCCGAATGTCAGACAGCGTCTAAATGTTTCAACTTTCTACTTTTTACAATTCCCTTTTTAAACGTAAAGTTTGACATTTGAATTAGCAGGTCGTTCAAGCCGGCGGTTTCATTAGACGCAGTCGTCTGGGAGGCCAGAATCACAGCTATGTGTGTCCCCTGACTCAAGGTGCTTCAGTCCACGAACACAACCCAAATATTCTACCCCAGATATAGTCCTGTTGATCTAACAAGCTCCAATGAAACATTATGGCTAAAGTGATTTTTGAAGAGGTTAGCATATCATTATGTATATGTCAATTGAATTTCAATTGCCGATAATGTTAAAAATACATCTTCGCCCTGAAATTCATTATTGAATCTGAAATTGCTGCTGTGGCACGAGTTCACACGAAATATGCACAATACGGTTGCATGTCTAGAACTGCCCAGTTGCGCTACCGACCCGGGGCTAGTTGTCGTGTCGAGAAGTACCTATACCACCTCCCCTCCACCAGATTAAGGACAATAGCTCTGTTTGAAGAACTTCGACAACAGACATGCGCAAACTCTCGTTATAGCTGTGGGTGCGCTCAAACAATGCCGCAGTGTTATGCATGCACCGCACTTTTTATCAAGGGGTATTCAAATATCGGAGTCATTAAGAAAATACTCAATCAAAGCTACTTCCATAACAGACTCATCTGTCGGGCCGTCATCCACGCTTTTCCTTCGTAACACAGAGGAGATAGTGTAGATGGCTGCAGTCGGGTTAGTGTGCTACGGTGGTAGCGTGGATGGCTGCAGTCGGGTTAGTGTGTTACGGTGGTAGCGTGGATGGCTGCAATCTGGTTAGTGTGTTACGGTGGTAGCGTGGATGGCTGCAGTCGGGTTAGTGTGTTACGGTGGTAGCGTGGAGGGCTGCAATCTGGTTAGTGTGTTATGGTGGTAGCGTGGATGGCTGCAGTCGGGTTAGTGTGTTACGGTGGTAGCGTGGATGGCTGCAATCTGGTTAGTGTGTTACGGTGGTAGCGTTGATGGCTGCAGTCGGATTAGTGTGTTACGGTGGTAGCGTGGATGGCTGCAATCTGGTTAGTGTGTTACGGTGGTAGCGTGGATGGCTGCAGTCAGGTTAGTGTGTTACGGTGGTAGCGTGGATGGCTGTAGTCTGGTTTGTGTGTTACGGTGGTAGCGTGGATGGCTGCTGTCGGGTTAGTGTGTTACGGTGGTAGCGTGGATGACTGCAGTCGGGTTAGTGTGTTACGGTGGTAGCGTGGATGACTGCAGTCGGGTTAGTGTGTTACGGTGGTAGCGTGGATGACTGCAGTCGGGTTAGTGTGTTACGGTGGTAGCGTGGATGGCTGTAGTCGGGTTAGTGTGTTACGGTTATAGCGTGGATGGCTGCAATCTGGTTATTGTGTTACGGTGGTAGCGTGGATGGCTGCAGTTGGGTTAGTGTGTTACGGTGGTAGCGTGGATGGCTGTAGTCGGGTTACTGTGTTACGGTGGTAGCGTCGATAGCTGCAGACTGGTTAGTGTGTTACGGTGGTAGCGTGGATGACTGTAGTCGGGTTACTGTGTTACGGTGGTAGCGTGGATAGCTGCAGACTGGTTAGTGTGTTACGGTGGTAGCGTGGATGACTGTAGTCGGGTTAGTGTGTTACGGTGGTAGCGTGGATGGCTGCAGTCGGGTTAGTGTGTTACGGTGGTAGCGTGGATGACTGTAGTCGGGTTAGTGTGTTACGGTGGTAGCGTGGATGGCTGCAGTCGGGTTAGTGTGTTACGGTGGTAGCGTGGATGACTGTAGTCGGGTTAGTGTGTTACGGTGGTAGCGTGGATGGCTGCAGTCGGGTTAGTGTGTTACGGTGGTAGCGTGGATGGCTGCAGTCGGGTTAGTGTGTTACGGTGGTAGCGTGGATGACTGTAGTCGGGTTAGTGTGTTACGGTGGTAGCGTGGATGGCTGCAGTCGGGTTAGTGTGTTACGGTGGTAGCGTGGATGGCTGCAATCTGGTAAGTGTGTTACGGTTATAGCGTGGATGGCTGCAATCTGGTTAGTGTGTTACGGTGGTAGCGTGGGTGGCTGTAGTCGGGTTACAGTGTTACGGTGGTAGCGTGGATAGCTGCAGACTGGTTAGTGTGTTACGGTGGTAGCGTGGAGGGCTGCAGTCGGGTTAGTGTGTTATGGTGGTAGCGTGGATGACTGCAGTCGGGTTAGTGTGTTACGGTGGTAGCGTGGATAGCTGCAATCTGGTTAGTGTGTTACGGTGGTAGCGTGGAGGGCTGCAGTCGGGTTAGTGTGCTACGGTGGTAGAGTGGATGACTGCAGTCGGGTTAGTGTGTTACGGTGGTAGCGTGGATGGCTGTAGTCGGGTTACTGTGTTACGGTGGTAGCGTGGATAGCTGCAGACTGGTAAGTGTGTTACGGTGGTAGCGTGGATGGCTGCAGACTGGTTAGTGTGTTACGGTGGTAGCGTGGATGGCTGCAGTCGGGTTTGTGTGTTACGGTGGTAGCGCGGATGGTTGGAGCCTGGCTAGAGTGTTATGGTGGTAGCGTGGATGGCTGCAGACTGGTTAGTGTGTTACGGTGGTAGCGTGGAGGGCTGCAGTCGGGTTTGTGTGTTACGGTGGTAGCGTGGATGGTTGGAGCCTGGCTAGAGTGTTACGGTGGTAGCGTGGATGGCTGCAGTCGGGTAAGTGTGTTACGGTGGTAGCGTGGATGACTGCAGTCGGGTAAGTGTGTTACGGTGGTAGCGTGGATGAGTGTAGTCGGGTTAGTGTGTTACGGTGGAAGCGTGGATGATTTAAGTCGTGTAGGTGTGTTACGGTGGTAGCGTGGATGATTTAAGTCGGGAAGGTGTGTTACGGTGGTAGCGTGGATGATTTAAGTTGGGAAGGTGTGTTATGGTGGTAGCGTGGATGATTTTAGGTCGGGAAGGAGTGTTACGGTGGTAGCGTGCATGATTTTAGTCGGGTACGTGTGTTATTGTGGTAGCAGGGATGGTTTAAGTCGGGAAGGTGTGTTATGGTGGAAGCGTGGATGATTTAAGTCGGGAAGGTGTGTTACGGTGGTAGCGTGGATGATTTAATCGTGTAGGTGTGTTACGGTGGTAGCGTGGATGATTTAAGTTGGGAAGGTGTGTTATGGTGGTAGCGTGGATGATTTTAGGTCGGGAAGGAGTGTTACGGTGGTAGCGTGCATGATTTTAGTCGGGTACGTGTGTTATTGTGGTAGCAGGGATGGTTTAAGTCGGGAAGGTGTGTTATGGTGGAAGCGTGGATGATTTAAGTCGGGAAGGTGTGTTACGGTGGTAGCGTGGATGATTTAAGTCGGGAAGGTGTGTTACGGTGGTAGCGTGGATGATTTAAGTCGGGAAGGTGTGTTATGGTGGTAGCGTGGATGGCTGCAGTCGGGAAGGTGTGTTACGGTGGTAGCGTGGATGGCTGCAGTCGTGTTAGTGTGTTACGGTGGTAGCGTGGATGGCTGCAGTCGGGTTAGTGTGTTACGGTGGTAGCGTGGATGGCTGCAGTCGGTTTAGTGTGTTATGGTGGTAGCGTGGATGGCTGCAGTCGGTTTAGTGTGTTATGGTGGTAGCGTGGATGGCTGCAGTCGGGAAGGTGTGTTGCGGTGGTAGCGTTGATGGCTGCAGTCGGTTTAGTGTGTTACGGTGATAGCGTGCATGATTTAAGTCGGGTAGGTGTGTTACGGTGGTAGCGTACTTTTTTTCCTGCTCAGTTGCATATGCTGTTGGTCGTTACGCGAACATTCCGAGTCGGGGAGTACATTAATGAATGTGTCATCTGTGTATTGCGTTGTCGGGCACGCATCAAAGAAAGGTCACGTAAGTTCAGAGGTCAGGAAGGAAAACCTAGTGTTCATGCAATCAGGAGATGGATGTCATCAACGGCACATTCCCTCAGCCTTCATATCCGTGGCGGTGAGGAGGCGTGGAGCGCTGACACCGAAGTCGGTTTCCAGGTAGTAGATTGTGCGTACAACCATAGGATATACAATACAACCACGAACTGCGTTAATTTCGAGATATCGTTAGAGGCAGAAACGTTGCCATCACTATCGTCTGGTATCGGTACTCCGCATGACCCGAGACCGCCTCCGTGGTCTAGTGGTAGAGCGTCCGCCCGGAGAGCGGAAGGGTCCGGTGTTCGATCCCCAGCCGCGTCGTACCAAAAGACGTTAAAAGATGGTACTTATTGTTACCCTGTCTGGCGCTCGGCATTAAGGGGCTGTGTCTGAATTTATGCTGTGTCTGAATTGGGTATTCATGTTAAACTGCGGCATTGTAACTCAGTGTGCTAGAACTATAAATCGGCATCAGTCCGGACTAGTACAAGCAGACACACACATACACACACAAACACACACACACACACACACACACACACACACACACACACACACACACACATACACGTGCATGCACGTCGCCATATAAGTGCAATAATCTTGGACGCGACGTTAAACCCCATTTCACCTCACCGCATGACCCGAACTACCGACATGACGATGCATGTGGGACCACAAGTCTGTATAACACATACAAAAAATCAAAATGGGGTTTGGATTAAAACTAAGAGCAGTTAGTTAAACATTCATTTGTTTATTACCTCCTGCGTTTATTACTCCCTGCGTTTACTAATTCCGTTCTACAGAAATGGCCTTCACGCATTGTATCCATGTCGGGAATCGAACCCTGGTCTTCGGCGTGACAAGCGAACGCTTTAATAGGGCCTCTGTGCCTCCCGCGTGCGACCACGAACATTGCCAGGCTCAAAGGGGGCAGAATGGTTGCCTAAGTCGTTCCATGGTAGTAAACAGAAGATTCAGACATCGCCATGGTAGCCGTGAATTTTTGAACATGTTCAAAACAGTCGCGCAAAGGTCGCCGGGGAGGTTCGTTGCTTAAAGGTGGCTCAAAGGACGGAGAGGGGAGGCAAAAACATTGCTGTTGTTGCAGAATGAAGGTACAGTGGTCGTCCAATGGTCACCTGGTAATAGATGCGTTCTGCTGCAAAATGTACGGTCAATCTTTGCGATGCTTCTGCCTCCCTTGTGCCTCCTTTCGGCGACCAACAGCGTGCATTGAACGATGACTGTGGCGGCCGCCGTGCCTCCATTGAGCGACCACGGCAACCCTTGAGACACTATGGCAATGCTTCTGCCTCTTTCCTGCCTCCTTTCTACTACCTGTAGTGCCTCTTCAGCCTGCCTATAAATAGTGGGCTTGTACCTGCAGCGTTTCATCGTGGTTGCAGACGCTGAACAACTCGAGCAGTTACTGCTGAACAACTGCTGGAGCAGTTACATAGAAACATGATTTTCTGGGTTCAGGCGACCATTGAGCGTCCTGGCCAGTTTTCGATCGCTGTGTACAGGGGCCTTAACCACTAGGCTACCCGACCGCCCCGTGCACCTGGTGATGTACACTCAGTATACAATGACTCTTTATAACGACGTCAGCTAGTATTTGAAACGCTTCACATGACGTTACCTTAATAATAGACAAAAGGAACCCTTGTGTTTAGCCTGAAAATATACCAAACGTATTACTCGAAATTCCGAACAGCTTGCTTCACTTGCAACCAGCGACTGAAGGGAAATAACTCCAGTTGTTTCAGGAGCACAATCACCGACGACACCACGTGACCGACATGACATGACTGCGCATGACAGGGTGTACAATCCAATGTTTAACAATTTGTCTTTAGATCAGACACAACATGTCAAGGTATTGTCTTGAGGTTCAACAGTGGAATGTCAGGTACAATGTACGGAGGCCCGACAATGGTATGTCAGGTACAGTGTATTGGGTGGGTGATTAAGTGAGTTGTTTTTTACGCCGTTTTACAGTATTCAAGTTACATCACAACGTGTCAGCTTGAGGCGGGAGGACAGCCCGAAGTGATGAAGGTCTTAGACGTTTACCACTTCGGTGAAACCCACGAGCACGGAAACCCAGAAACATAATCAGGGCGAAGCGGGATTTGAACCTACAATCATAGGTTTCTGGCATGCCTAGCGGAAGCATCACTGCACAGTGAATTACTGCGCCTCAGACATTACAGTTTCAGACGCAATGGCATGTAAGCTACAGTGTCTTGGGGTCGGACACAATGGCATGTCAGATACAGTGCCTTGGGGTCGGACACAATGGCATGTCAGATACAGTGTCTTGGGGTCAGACACAATGGCATGTCAGTTACAGTGTCTTGGGGTCACACACAATGGCATGTTAGATGCAGTGTCTTTGGGTCAGACACAATGACATGTCAGATACAGCGTCTTGAGGTCAGACACAATGGCATGTCAGTTACAGTGTCTTGGGGTCAGACACAATGACATGTCAGTTACAGTGTCTTGGGGTCAGACACAATGGCATGTCAGCTACAGTGTCTTGGGGTCAGACACAATGGCATGTCAGATACAGTGTCTTGGGGTCAGACACAATGGCATGTCAGCTACAGTGTCTTGGGGTCAGACACAATGGCATGTCAGATAGAGTGTCTTGGGGTCTGACGCAATGGCATGTCAGATACAGTGTCTTGGGGTCAGACACAATGGCATGTCAGATACAGCGTCTTGAGGTCAGACACAATGGCATGTCAGATACAGCGTCTTGAGGTCAGACCATATTGGATGTCAGATACAGCGTCTTGAGGTCAGACACAATGGCATGTCAGATACAGCGTCTTGAGGTCTGACACAATGGCATGTTAGATGCAGTGTCTTGAGTTCAGACACAATGGCATGTCCGATACAGTGTTTTGAGGTCAGACACAATGACATGTCAGATACAGCGTCTTGGGGTCAGACCCTATTGGATGTCAGATACAGCGTCTTGAGGTCAGACACAATGACTTGTCAGATACAGCGTCTTGAGGTCAGACACAATGGCATATCAGCTACAGTGTCTTGGGGTCAGACACAATGGCATGTCAGATAGAGTGTCTTTGGGTCTGACGCAATGGCATGTCAGATACAGTGTCTTGGGGTCACACACAATGGCATGTTAGATGCAGTGTCTTTGGGTCAGACACAATGACATGTCAGATACAGCGTCTTGAGGTCAGACACAATGGCATGTTAGATGCAGTGTCTTGAGGTCAGACCCTATTGGATGTCAGATACAGCGTCTTAGGTCAGACACAATGACATGATAGATGCAGTGTCTTGAGGTCAGACACAATGACATGTCAGATACAGCGTCTTGGGGACAGACACAGTGGCATGTGGGGCGGTCGGGTAGCCTAGTGGTTAAAGCGTTCGCTCGTCACGCCGAAGACCCGGGTTCGATTCCCGACATGGGTACAATGTGTGAAGCCCATTTCTGGTGTCCCCCGCCGTGATATTGCTGGAATATTGTTAAAAGCGGCGTAAAACCATACTCACTCACTCACCCACTCACAATGGCATGTTAGATACAGCGTCTTGAGGTCAGACACAATGACATCTCAGATACAGCGATTTGGGGTAAGTCACAATGGCATGTCAGATACAGCGTCTTGAGGTCAGACACAATGGCATATCAGATACAGTGTCTTGAGGTCAGACACAATTGCATGTCAGATACAGCGTCTTGAGGTAAGTCACAGGAGCATGTCATTGTCGGCCAATGTCACGTGGCCAGCTTCAGTGACTCCAGGGTTCATATTTTACAGCCGCTTCATAAGGCTCACTCAGCGTGTGCCACGACATGTTTCTCTTTGTGAATCTGAAGTGGTAACATATGTGAGATGATCTACTGTGTCAGTGTATAAGAGGCGTTCTACTATGTCAGTGTATATTTGATGTTCTGTGTTAGTGCATGTGAAGTATTCTGTGTCAGTGTATGTGAGGTGTTCTACAATGTCAGTGAATATGAGGTGTTCTACAATGTCAGTGTATATGGCATGTTCTACTAACTCAGTGTATATGAGGTGTTCTACAAATTCAGTGTATATGAGATGTTCTACTTTCTTATTGTGTATGAGGTGTTCTACTATGTCAGTGTATAAGATGAGTTATCTTATGTCAGTGAATATTTTATGTTCCGTATTAGTGCATATGAAGTGTTCTGTGTCAGTCTATATGAGGTGTTCTGCTATGTCCGTGTATATGAGGTGTTCCGCTATATCAGTGTATAGGAGGTATTCTGCTATGTCAGTCTATATGAGGTGTTCCACTTTGTCAGTCTATATGAGGTGTTCTACTTTGTCAGTCTATATGAGGTGTTCTGCTATATCAGTGTATAGGAGGTGTTCTACAATGTCAGTCTATGTGAGGTGTTCCACTTTGTCAGTCTATATAAGGTGTTCTGCTATATCAGTGTATAGGAGGTATTCTGCTATGTCAGTCTATATGAGGTGTTCCACTTTGTCAGTCTATATGAGGTGTTCTGCTATATCAGTGTATGGGAGGTGTTCTGCTATATCAGTGTATATGAGGTGTTCTGCTATGTCAGTTTATATGAGGTAGTGTAATAAGACAATGTTTTTGACGTCACAGTGTTATGACTCCAGGACTTTGTCTAAGCCATCGCCTGCATGTTACTCTAAATGACACAAGCCCGCTCTATATTCCCTGTGTGTACCTTCATAACATTTCCTTCCTCGTTACACGTTCACAAACTTCGCTGTCGCAAGTAGGTCACTCCAAAGTGATAGTCCCACACAGTCACATGATGCGTCCGTATATCACGTGACCACGTGACTTGACATCAACTTGTTATCTGCATTGCGACAGTGTCTGATTAGGACCAAGGTGCAGGGTACTTGACCCGGAAGTTGTCATCAGAAGGCGGATACCGGGGTATAAACACCATCACCACCTCCACCGTCTCAACAAGCGTCGTCGCAACATCCCTCCTCTCGTGGAATCATGGCACTAGTTGGTTCCTGGCAGCATGGTCTGTTCGGCTGTTTTGACAACTTTGGAACTTGCATCGTCACGTACCTGGTACCATGCTACACATTCGGTAAGAACGCCGAGGCCGTTGGGGACAGCTGCTTTCTATGCGGGGCCGCCTACTTCGTCCCTGGCCTCAACCTGTTCGCTTTGCTCTCTGTCAGGGGTAAGATCAGAGAGCGGAAGGGCATAGACGGGACTTTTGTCAACGACTGCTGTGCTATCATACTGTGCCACCCTTGTGCCCTGGTCCAGGAGGCTAACGAGATACAGTGCCCCGGGAGTCAGTTCATGGCCAGGTCCTAGTGGGAGGGACCCCTTGGGACACGTGCTTGTGCTTGGGGGCAATGTTTGTGTTTACTTTGTGAAATATGTAACCGATGCAACGAGAAGATGTTTACAAGGTGTAACAAGTGTGACATTAATGTAACCACGTTCCTGGCGCGTGACGCCGTTCATGTCATCAAGGTTTTCAAGCTCCACCAAATGGACTATCTACAAGAGTGGTGACCCTGTCATTTGATATCACATTTACATTGCTGAATATGAAGCCAGTGAACATTGAACATTGAACAGTGAGCTTAGTGACTGTAACTCATTGTGTCTAGACTTGTAATCGATGTGACGGCATTGTGTGCATTTATGTTGTGCAATCAATTACCATTGAAAATGTCGGGTGTTAGTTTCCTGGTTCGGTCACATGTTCTCCCTTCACAATAAATAGCAATGTTACATGTCAGCACGCGTCACTTGATAGGGTGCGTGTCCTCCTACCATGTTATCACGACAAGGACACTTGTTGACTGATCATTAAAGGGATTCATTTTGATGAATGTAGCTGTTTCTTTGTTTTTCTTCCTAATCGATAATCAAAGGATAAATACAGTTAACTTCTTAGGATCCGATAGACTTGCCAACTTCCGGTTGGTCTGTTGTATAAATTCATGCAAGTATCAACACTGCGACCTCTTACGGCTCACAAATCTTTGTCCTATCTATTACATATCGGTCAACGAAGCAATTAATTGGATTTGTGTTATTTTCTCTATAATCCCTGTGTTAACTTCACTGATGGTCTAAGTGTGTTATTTTCTCCATAATCTCTGTGTTAACTACACTGATGGTCTAAGTGTGTTATTGTCTCTATAAACCCTGTGTGAACTACACTGATAGTCTAAGTGTGTTATTGTCTCTATAAACCCTGTGTTAACTACACTGATGGTCTAAGTGTGAGATTGTCTCTATAAACCCTGTGTTAACTACACTGATAGTCTAAGTGTGTTATTGTGTCTATAAACCCTGTGTTAACTACACTGATGGTCTAAGTGTGTTATTGTCTCTATAAACCCTGTGTTAACTACACTGATGGTCTAAGTGTGTTATTGTCTCTAAAAACCCTGTGTTAACTACACTGATAGTCTAAGTGTGTTATTGTCTCTATAATCCCTGTGTTAACTACACTGATGGTCTAAGTGTGTTATTGTATCCATAAATCCTGTGTTAACTACACTGATGGTCTAAGTGTGTTATTGTCTCTATAAACCCCGTGTTAACTTCACTGATGGTCTAAGTGTGTTATTGTCTCTATAAACCCTGTGTTAACTACACTGATGGTCTAAGTGTGTTATTTTCTCTATAAACCCTGTGTTTACTTCACTGATGGTCTAAGTGTGTTATTTTCTCTATAATCCCTGTGTTAACTACACTGATGGTCTAAGTGTGTTATTGTCTCTATAATCCCTGTGTTAACTTCATTGATGGTCTAAGTGTGTTATTTTCTCTATAAACCCTGTGTTAACTACACTGATGGTCTAAGTGTGTTATTGTCTCTATAAACCCTGTGTTAACTTCACTGATGGTCTAAGTGTATTATTTTCTCCATAATTCCTGTGTTAACTACACTGATGGTCTAAGTGTGTTATTTTCTCCATAATCCCTGTGTTTACTTCACTGATGGTCATGAGAGCGTTTCAGCGTCGCTTGCTTTTCTCAACGTCGTCGATTTGGGGGTGGGAATGTAATGGTAAGGGGTGGCATCACAACTTATGGGAAAACACAAATCATCATTGTTAATGGCAGTTTGAATGGCGTGCGCTACCGGAATGACATCGGGATGACATCATATTCTGCTCTTTGTGCAAATGCGGGGGCTACGTCGTCTAAGGCGCCGCGATTCGCTGTGCAGAGTTGCGTCCCTTGGGCACGCCAGAAACCTATGATTGTTGGTTCGAATCCCGGTTCGCCCCAATTATGTGTCTAGGTTTGTCAGCACCATACCCGTGCTCGTGGGTTTCGCCGAAGTGGTAAACGTCTGAGACCTGCATCACTTCGGGCTTTTCTCCCACATTAAGCTGACACGCCGTGATATAACTGGAATACTGTTAAAAGCGGCGTAAACCCCAACTCACTCACTCACTCACGGAAATGCACGAGGCCAAGGATAATGCCCGCCCACATTTTGCACGTGTTGCAACATACTTTTTGAGGCAGCATAGCTTTGATGTACCGCCATGGCCGACTGTTTCTTCAGAACATGCCTGGGATGAGATTGAACGACGCCTACGACAGGACCGATAACACCAGCTCAGTTTGGCCAAGCTTTGGTTGACATTTGGAACAAAATTCCCCAGGCTGTTTTCAATCATCTGGTGTCGTCAATCCGGCGCCGTTGCTTCTCCGTGTGAACCCAAACGGTGGTTACACCCGATACCAAGTCTTGTTACCAGCTAAGAGCTTTGTCAATGAATTTGTTATGATTAAACATTGATCAGAAGAATATTATGTTGTTATTTTTAACAAAACTTTATATGAAGCACAGTTACTTGTTCCGCTGGTATATATTGATGTTGAAACCGGAAACACTTCAATTCAAAGCTTATATTATGTACACAAGTGTGAGGAGCAAAGCTTTCGAAAGTCCGAGTGCATTATATCCGATGCGTCGCCCTTACTGTGAACTTTCTGTTCAAGGAAATAGACATTGAGCGGATATCTACGAAACCAAAAGTGCAACATAAAAAGTCAGTCCTTTATCTGTGAAGGAAATATGGGACAATACCGATTATTTCGACGTTCCCTTGGAATCCCAAAACAGCGGATTTGTTCCTGCTTTTGTTGAGATAAAGAACAGACACATTGCCACGATCTTCAACCTCAGTTTCAGACCCTATTTCTTCAACAATACCAAGATAAATGAAGCATCTATCCACCATAGTTTGAAATTTTTAAAAAAGTATCTAAGAAGCCATATTCCGTGTTCTATCTATATCTATATAGAGAAATTTATAAAATGGCAACCTCTGTTCCAAGCTGTGTGACAAGAGAGAGGCTTTCCATTCTCTTATTGTGAATTCCCACATCGTGTCGAGCAATATACCATCTGGCATCTACATTTCCCAGTTACTTAGGTATTTAAGAGCATGTACAAAATATTCACATTTCACGGAAACACATTTTGCTTACAGCTAAACTTTTCAATCAGGTTTAAGCAAGGCCTGGTTAAGTTATTTCCCAGTTACTCAGGTATTTAAGAGCATGTACAAAATATTCAAATTTCATGGAAACACATTTTGCTTACAGCTAAACTTTTCAATCAAGACCTGGTTAAGTCATTCCGGAAGGTTTATGGAAGACATAGAGAGGAACAACAGGACAATTTGCTTGTCAACATGATGCGCGATGCTATCCCATAGTATGAACTCTACAGGGAGTTTTCACACAGATTTACTTAATGAATCGGGTGGTCAAGCTTGGTGATTTGGGTGATGGAATGTCGTCGTTCCCGACGACGTGGATCATAACTCACGATACTGATCACATGATTGTATGGTCCAGACTCAATTGTTTATAGGCCACCGACGTGGGCTGGATGCGGCGTTAGGCAACAAACAAACAAACAAACACATATTTGTTTTGTGAAAATTGCGAGTGGAGGGTTCCACCAGCAGAACCGGAAGTGCTTACCCTTTTAGCGAACACCTGGTGTCATCACTTCATTCCAATGGTCCATTCTTACTATTTTCATCACTATATTGCCATTGGAATGGAATGTTTTCGGCAGATAATTGAGACTGATTTTTCCCTAGCATTGACGTTTAATATTTACTTTTTTCTACTTTCATTTGAAAAATAATTCAGCATTACCGCCATTGTAATTCCCCACCCTGACACTGTTCACCGTATAACCACACACACACACACACACACACACACACACACACACACACACACACACACACACACACACACACACACACACACACACCTAATTCATTGTTAAACAAAGATTGTATCTGTATTACATTGTCTCTGTTATATGGCAGAGTAATGTAGTGTTAAAAAATACAATGATTGTATCTGTATTACATTGTCTCTGTTATATGGCAGTGTAATTTATTGTTAAACAATGATTGTATCTGTATTACATTGTCTCTGTTATATGGCAGTGTAATTCATTGTTAAACAAAGATTGTATCTGTATTACATTGTCTCTGTTATATGGAAGTGTAATTCATTGTTAAACAAAGATTGTATCTGTATTACATTGTCTCTGTTATATGGCAGTGTAATTCATTGTTAAACAAAGATTGTATCTGTATTACATTCTTTCTGTTATATGGCAGTGTAATTTATTGTTAAACAATGATTGTATCTGTATTACATTCTTTCTGTTATATAGTAGTGTAATTTATTGCTGAACAATGATTGTATCTGTATTACATTGTCTCTGTTATATGGCAGAGTAATGTAGTGTTAAACAATGATTGTATCTGTATTACATTGTCTCTGCTATATGGCAGTGTAATAAATTGTTAAACAAAGATTGTATCTGTATTACATTCTTTCTGTTATATGGCAGTGTAATTTATTGTTAAACAATGAGTGTATCTGTATTACCTTGTCTCTATTATATGGCAGCATAATGTAGTGTTAAACAATGATTGTATCTGTATTACATTGTCTCTGTTATATGGCAGAGTAATGTAGTGTTAAACAATGATTGTATCTGTATTACATTGTCTCTGCTATATGGCAGTGTAATTTATTGTTAAACAATGATTGTATCTGTATTACATTGTCTCTGTTATATGGCAGTGTAATTCATTGTTAAACAAAGATTGTATCTGTATTACATTGTATCTGCTATATGGCAGCGTAATGTAGTGTTAAACAAAGATTGTATCTGTATTACATTGTCTCTGTTATATGGCAGTGTAATTCATTGTTAAACAAAGATTGTATCTGTATTACATTGTCTCTGTTATATGGCAGAGTAATGTAGTGTTAAACAATGATTATATCTGTATTACATTGTCTCTGCTATATGGCAGAGTAATGTAGTGATAAACAATGATTGTAACTGTATTACATTGTCTCTGTTATATGGCAGAGTAATGTAGTGTTGAACAATAATTGTAGCTGTATTACATTGTGAAGCGGGCGTGTACCTGTCTCATCTCACATATCATCTTACATTTCATCTCAGATTTCATCTGACATTACATCAAGACCAGCTTTTGTGTGAACATCACTTATCACCCCGGATTCCCAGCCCAGGTGCATCTCGGAAACTTGATCACTGTTGCGGATAGGTGAATATTATTATCACTGAACTTCTTGATACCACCACTGCCATCACGTTTTGTGTTTGATACAGCCATTGAATATTGTATTACCACTCTATTGCATACTACCATTGCAATTTCTGTGCAGTAACTTGTATTGATTTGTAAACCTAGTTAATAGTGATATACAATAGTTGATAGTTTACCAGTTGATGGTTATATGTCGGTTTCACGCTAAATTCCTTACGTGCAGATTTCTGACGGCCGTGAAGATCCGGGGTAGAATAGTTCTTCAGCAACCCATGCTTGCCGTAAAAGGCGACTATGCTTGTCGTAAAAGGCGACTAACGTGATTTGGTGGTCAGGCTCGCTGACTTGGTTGATGCATGTCATCGGTCCCAGTTGCGTGGATCGATGTTCGTGATATCAACCACTGGATTGTTTGATCCAAACTCGATCATTTACAGACCGCCGTCAGATTGCTGGAATATTGCCGAGTGCGGCGTAAAACAACAAACAACAAACAACAACAATGTTCAGATTTCTGAGTTAACATATTGTTTCAATTTGGGAATCGACACGTGACACTGTACAACGACGTCCCGCTCCCTGCACTGTTCAGGTATGGTGGGGTAGCCTAGTGGTTTAAGACCCGACTTTAACTCCCCCGTGGATCGATGCTCATGATGTCAATAACTGGATTGTATGGTCCAGACTCGATTATTTACAGACCGCCGTCATATAGCTGGAATATTGCTGAGTGTGGTGTTAAACAACAGACAAACAACCACTACATGCGTCCCCATTGTGAAGGCGATCGACGATCAACCGTTATTGAAAATGTTGCTAACAAAACACTTTGATATATGTCGACATTTTGCAACACATTCAGGTTGGATTACTAGTAGATGGCCCCTTCGAAGGCTGTATGTCACTCATAGTCAACTCTGCTCAACCACTTACTGCAATCAATCTTCGCATGGCCACCAAAACTAACGATAATATAAAAAAAACATTTTCTCCCTATAGCCACTATTCCTGGCTCCCTTTCATCAGCTGTTGAGTTTACACTTTGTATTTCTCTTAGTGAACACTTAGTACAAGCTATGTCTCAGGGCGCTCATGTGCAATTCTAACAAAGGACGTGTTCAGCAAGCATTTCATATGAATTAAAACTCGTCCCAACTCAACAAATAACTTGAGTGCACGAACACCACCGTGATGTAGCTCAACAAGGTACGTAACTCGTGGGGGACTAATTGTAGTAGGAGTATATCGAGTTACGTCCCTTGGCATGTGTGTCCGTCAGTCGATACCGTTCTCGTGAGACAGAATGTGGCTTGATGTCCCAGTCTGTGAACGAGTGATATGTTTGTTTAGTTTATCCTATCGCTGGCATTCAATTTATGGTTACAACAGAGTGCATGTTGCTATGACAGAGGCCCACCATACAAGCAATCGGAATTTTATGTTCAGGAATATCTGAGATCCTAAACACAGACACGTTCCTGAAATTGCCCAGTAAATATATTGCTATGAATATTGCTATGATTATATATATTGCTATGAATATTGCTATGATTATATTGCTAGAGAGAAGAAGGGACTTACATAAGGTAAGGGTGTCTCGTAGTGATAAGATATACTTTCATTGTCAGTTGCTGTTATGAAAACTGTCAGTGATATAGCAACAACAACTTTATAAACACATTTAGAAATATCTTTGCCGTATACCACCCTGCAATCCTTGAGTTCAAGTCATTAACGTTTCTAGTGAGTGAGTATGGTTTTACGCCGCTTTTAGCAATATTCCAGCAATATCACGGAGGGGGACACCAGAAATAGGCTTCACACATTGTACCCATGTCGGGAATCGACGACGAGCGAACGCTTTAACCGCTAGGCTACCCGACCGCCCCTTGTTAACGTTTCTCCCTCTGCTACGGAGACTGTTTTCCCAGTCACCATTAAACTGGCAGCCTTTTCTTGTTCATGTTTGTGTTAATTTGTACCAGGTTTGCTGTTAGTCCTGCTGATATGTGTGCCATTCAAGTATCTGGGAGTTCACCTGTAATTTCAATATATTTTGTACAACTTATCCATTTGTAAAACAAATGGTCAATGATATATATTATTAGATTATTAGAATGTTATACATTGATATGCATTTTGTTGCAAACATGTCTAAATTCTAAACACGTTTAGATAATGGGGATGCTGTGTTTAGGTTGTGTTTAGGTTGAGACCAAAGTTCCTTTCATGTGTTAAAAATGTGTTGTATGAGTACGGGTTTAGAGAAGCTTGGCTCTATCAATGAGTTGGCTATGCTGACGGATTTATTGACCAGTTGACAGCAGTCAACTGTATATTCGGAAACAACCCGCCACGCCGGATGTGCACGCGGCCATTGGCCTGTAACACACCCACAAGTCAGGCTAATTATACATACAAAAGCTTATCTAAAAAACAAACAGCTTGAAATAGCAGAATGTTGCGCTAAATATACACAGCAGTTTTTGGCTGATTGTCTTCAAGCGTTATTTCGCGAGACTATTATTGTCATACAATAACTGTCGTTCCACACGAATGGGTCAATGCATACGTATTGTGCAAGCTGATCATGTACGAGCTTGTTAACGCCAGGCAATGTTATCACTGAAAAATTGTTCTATCCAAAAATGATTGTGAATTGAAAAAGGGGTCACTTCGTACCTTGAACGAATCATGTCATATCTAGATGGCGTGACTGCGTGATGCATGTTACTGAAGTCTTGTTTAATATTAATAAATACTGGAACTGGGTACGGGTATAACTTGAACTGGGTACGGGCATAACTTGAACTGGGTACGGGTATAACTGGAACTGGGTACGGGTATAACTTGAACTGGTTACGGGTATAACTGGAACTGGGTGCGGCTATAACTTGAACTGGGTACGGGTATAACCGGGCCTGGGTTCGGGTATAACTGGAACTGGGTACGGGTATAACTGGAACTGGGTACGGGTATAACTTGAACTGGTTACGGGTATAACTGGAGCTGGGTACGGCTATAACTTGAACTGGGTACGGGTATAACTGGGCCTGGGTTCGGGTATAACTGGAACTGGGTATGGGTATAACTGGAACTAGGTACGGGTATAAATGGACCTGGATACCAGTGTCACTGCTGGCCGCGGCGCAAAACAACGTCATGTAAACAGGAGCAGTTCATGCAGGAGTCACTCACTCACTCACTCACCGTGTCTGATCCCGACGACATGTAAACAGGGGCACGTCCCGCAGGAGTCACTCACTCACTCACCGTGTCTGATCCTGACGTCATGTAAACGGGAGCAGGTCCTGCAGGAGTCACTCACTCACCGTTTCTGACACTGATGTCATGAAAACAGGAGCAGGCCCTCAAAGAGTCACTCACTCACTCACTCACTCATCGTGTCCGACCCTGACGTCATGTAAACCAGCACAGTTCTTGCAGGATTCACTCACTATTCGTGTCTGATCCTGACGTCATGTAAACAGGAGTAGGTCCTGCAAGAGTCACCCACTCACCGTTTCTGACACTGACGTCATGTAGACAGGAGCAGATGCTGCAGGAGTCTCTCACTCACTCACTCACTGTGTCTGCTCCTGACGTCATGTAAACAGGAGCAGATCATGCAGGACTCACTAACTCACTCACCATGTCCGACCCTGACGTCATGTAAACAGGCACAGGTCCAGCAGAAGTCACTCACTCACTCACCGTTTCTGTCCCTGACGTCATGTAAACAGGCACAGGTCCAGCAAGAATCACTCACTCACTCACTCACTCACCATGTCTGACCCTGACGTCAAGTAAACGGGCACATACCCAGCAGGAATCACTCACACACTCACAATGTCTGATCATGACATCATGTAAACAGAAGAAGGTCCAGCAGGAGTCACTCACTCGACGTGTCTGATCCTGACGTCGTGTAAACAGGAGAAGGTCTAGCAGGAGTCACTCACTCGACGTGTCTGATCCTGACGTCATGTAAATAGGAGCATTTCATGCAGGAGTCACTCACCCACTTACCGCGTCTGACCTTGACTACATGTAAACAGAAGCTGGTCCCGCAGGAGTCACTCACTCACTCACTCACTGTGTCTGATCCCGACATCATGTAAACAGGAGAAGGTCCAGCAGGAGTCACTCACTCACTGTGTCTGATCCTGACATCATGTTAACGGGAGCATGTCCTGCAGGAGTCACTCACTCACTGTGTCTGATCCTGACATCATGTTAACGGGAGCATGTCCTGCAGGAGTCAGCACCGGTTGAGGACGCCGGCCTCACTGCAGGGCGCTGGGTCATGCCCTCAATCTATGGAGTGAGTGAGGGAGTCACTCCTTATTCACATCGTATCGCAGAAGGGATGGGAAATACCTTCATTCACAGCAGTCAACACGAAGCTGTTGGCATCACAAACTAACAAGGAAAAATTCAAATTTCAGAAACAGGACAAGGGCTATTGACAGATCAAAACCACATATCACAGCAAGTATGTTAATCTCCTTGAAGAACGTTGTGGGCAGGGTCTCAAAACAATATTCAAAATGTCAGCTGGTTCCAGAAATCCCGTTTGTGACTGTGTACCGCTTGTGTTCTGTGTTTATGTATAAGCCATTCAAAACGTCAGCTGATACGAAACAGAGCAATTCTGTCAATCAAATTAGTTATTTTGACCTCATACGATTTTGTCCATGTTAATTAATATTGACGACAAACAACAGTGTTTCTACCTGCCGCTGGTGTTGTAGAGACGTAGTTGATAATGTTTAATTGTACTGAATGATTGTGAAATATCCATCGATTTTTAAAATCATAAATATTCATATCAAAGATAAGAGATTCCTCCTTTGATATAACTATCAGTGCTGGGCGAATTTCCCTACAATCAGTGAGCATTGTGACTGTTTTTATTAGATACGTTCTGTTTTATGAAACTTCACGCTAGGAATTGAAACCGCTGATTTAGCTGTCATTTAAAACATATCGTTGTA